TCAGTCTGAAAGTAACCTACAATAGATAGCTACTAATTTGACTATCACCCAACAATGAAATTACCATTTATCTGTGATGTCATTTTTTTCTGTTGAGCCTCTGATCATTGCCTTCAATTTATCTTGTTGAAAAAAACCTAACAAACTATGAGTCAAAAAAAGCAAGCAAAAGTCACCTCTTCCCTCCTGCACCAAATTCCTTGACTGCCTCCAAATTCCCTGAACTATATATTCACTCGGGCTGTGTCTCACTCTGGATGTGATCTCTCCTTCCTGATTTTGCAAAGCTTACTGATCCTGATAACCTAACAGCCAGACTGCAGGTATGAAAACCTGTTTCTTGTCTTAACCTCTTCAAAACCTGCATTCTAGAACAAATCTTATATTTACTGAATAAGCGGGCCAGACCCGCCCACAAATATCTTCCTATTAAACCTTCATCAAATTTACAAGCAATTCTGCAAATTCAGCTAACTGCACCTGCTGAATTTGAGCTCCATTGAAAAAGAGCCATTTCTGAACACAGTGTGATCATTTCTGGTCACAGACAGAAATCATGTGAATTATTGCCGATATCTTCGGTTATTAATTTATTTGTAATTGTAACTTCTTACCTTTGTTCTTTTTCTGTCTTCCCTGTGTATGTTGATGTTTGCACCAATTATTCTTCATGGTTTGAATAAACCATACTTCTGTTTTAACCCTCATGAGTTTGCTGCAGGCCATTATTTTTTACGTTGAGCTTCACAAGCAAAGGGTTTTGGGGAAAGCATATTGCAGCCTGTGCAAGAGAAACGGAATTATAAAATACCTCTATTTATGAACAGAAGCAGAGAAGAATAAAATAATTAGATTCATCTCCCCATCTTGTATGTAACAATATAGAAAGTCTTGAATCTATAAAGCATGTTTCATGATTTCACAGTATTAGAGTTTTAAGGCAACTTTTGAAACATAGTCATGGTTGTAATGTCAGAAAAGTGACAGCTAATTTTCGTACGTCAAGTGCCTATGAGCAGTAAAGTGATAGTGGTAAAATAATCTGTTTTGGTGATGCTTGTTAAGGAATAAATATTGGCCAGTGCACCCCAGTGAGGTGCTCCCCTGCTGGCTTCTTTGAAATAGTGCCATGGGATTTTTTTTTCCCTCCTGAAACAGCAGACAGGGGATTAGTTTAACGTTAGAGACTAGGCACCCCTGACAGTGCAGCTTTTTCTGGCTTCAAGCTCTTGGAAGCAGGCACGAGTGAAGCTGATTTCAGTTGTCATTTGCATCTTGTCTGCATGAGAGGTCAAAGAGAAAGAGCTTGCATTCATATAGCACCTTTTTAAATCTCCCAAAGAATGGCACAGCCAATGAAATAATTTTGAAGGGGAATTACTTGCAGTTGAGGAAAGTCAGCAACTAATTTGCACACAGCCAGATCTGACAAACAGACATGAGATAATATTTGGACAGTAAGAAACTGGAGAGGCTGGGTTTGTTTTCCTTGAAGAAAATGAGATTGATTGGGGATTTGAAAGAGATCGACAGGTTTAGAAAATGTGGGCCCACTACAGGAGTGTAAGCTGAAGCTGTTGCAATCTGTATGAATGACTGAAATGATCCCAATCCATATTGATTTTAAAATTCTCATTCTAGTTTTCAAATCCTTCCATGGCCTCAACCCTCTAACACCACCTCCCGATCTCTCTCTCTCTTCTGCTATACATTCCTTAGACCTATTCACTCCTCTAATTTCCTTGCCTCTTGCACACCCTCCCCAATTTCCTTCACTCTACCATTAGTGGCCATACCTCAAAAATACAGATCCCAAACTCTGGAATTCCCTGCCTGCACTTCTCCCGCCACTTTTCTTTTTAAGGCCCCCTCCCTGCAAACTGATTTTGAGATGTTTTTTACAAATTCTTCCTTGCTTTACCTTGTCTTGTGGCTCAAATGATGTCTGATCTCATCCCTGTGAAACCAATGGGGTGTAATTGGTGCTACGTAAATTAAATTGCTATTGTTGACTGACTTTCTGAGTCAATTCCTGAAAATCTGCAAAATAAGCCAAGTAGTTTTACGCCTGTCTTGTTATGACCTTAAAGGTATTCCAGGGAATGTGATTAACCTTCTAGTCCCTAAGCCGATAAGGTGAAAAGTGAGGTTTATATTCACTTTGTTAAAACTTAAATTGCGTGTTGTAACCACCCTGTTCCAAAGTGCTCTGCCTCTGGTCACGTTTTATATCAACTCACAATGAACCAAGCCATTTTGTATCCATTGGTGAAAAAGTGAGAGGACTCTGCCCGGTATCAGAAATCAATTTCAGGCAGCATATGGAAAAGGAAGGCTCAAAGCAAGACGATGCATTTCAAATGTTCTTTTTTAAGAAAGAGCAATGGGCCTTCATTGAATTAATTTTTTTAATTAGGAGCAAGAATGGAAAATAATTCAGACTGTTGTTAGCCCATCTATTTCAGAATCATGAACTTCCATTTGCGATGTGGTGAGATGTTAATACTTTGTCAAATTGTCTTTTTTGAAAATGCAAGCAATTTGATTTGAGGATGGTTGCTGTTAGAAATGTGTTCTGACTGATGTGGTTGACTAAAAATGCCAGTAAGATTGTGGTAATCACTGGGGGAGACAGCAGGCTGTGTGTGTATATGTGTTGCCTCATTTGTGTGAGATACAGCTGCAAGTGTTAAAGTGTGACCTATATATATAAATCCTGCATTTTTATGTCCCGTATGTTTGTAAAATCAAGAGGGGTATGGATAGGGTTAATAGCCAAGGTCTTTTTCCCAGGATAGTGGAGTCCAAAACTAGATGACATAGGTTTAAGGTAAGTGGGGAAAGATTTAAAAGGGACCTAAGGGGCAACTTTTTCACTCAGAGGGCGGTATGTTTATGGAATGAACTGCCAAAGGAGGTGGTGGAGGCAGGTACAATTATAATATTAAAAAGGCATCTGGATAGGTACATGAATAGGAGGGGTTTAGAGGGATATGGGCCAAATAGTGGAATATCTGGTCGGCATAGACAAGTTACACCGAAGGGTCTGTTTCGGTGCTGTATTACTGTTTGACTCTAAGTGGATATGTGCAGTCCTGGCAGACAGGCTGGTTAGATGTAAACTGTCTTTCTGTATAAAGGAGACATTAAATCTATGAAACTGGCCAACCAATGGAGTACTGAGACTGGCCTGTCTGTGTAAGTGGATTCTCATGAGTTTGTTAAATATCCAATTAAATAAATAAGACGACATTCAACAATTCTTCAATGCTGTCACAAGTCACCTTTGATCCAAATCTGAAGATAACTCCAAACCTTACTGTTCTTAAGTGCATTCCTGGGAATGATAGCAGATATTTCCAATCCCTGGAAGGTTGGTGATTTTCTTGATCTTTCCAGAGCTTTAATAGATCAGTCCATATCTTACCTCACATTTCAGGATTCCTGCCAATGTTACAGTGGACAATTAAAAGAAAGCAAATATTCTGCCCCATTTTATTGTCCCAATGCAATCTCTCATCCCTTGAGGAGCAAAGATTTTTGCGTCTAATATTTCACTTTGTTAAATGGACAGAAATTCAATGATCAGCATTTACACTTCATCGGAGGGACCAATTGACTGTCACAACCTCCAACTCGTGTTGGTACCAACGTCCTCAGAATGTCACAGTGGCTGAGAAAAGGTTTCCAGTTATTAAAGAGTAAGTTCACAAAAACAAATTCCAGTTATATGTTGAATGTTAAATCATGTTGGAAGGATGTCAAAGTGCAGGAAATAATTGCTAAGCAGCCTGTTCACATCTGTTCGCGGGTTGAGACGATGTTTCGTTTCTAGCAGTGAATGATGACAATGATATGGAGCACAGTTATATGTTTAGCGTTTCTCATGAGAGTCATCCACAGCAAGGAAGGTTCAGGAGCAATTTTATGATCACCAAGATTCATACAGGCCAAAACCCCAGTTGTATGCGCAGAACTACATTTGCTTAACCTTACTTAATATAAGATTGATATTAAATAGGATGCATTATTGATGAAAATTATTGTCGAGTCTTCAATTTTTCCTTTGATTTCTGAAGGAGTATGAAATTTCACTGTGTATAACAATTACTTTGCAATTATTCTGCTATAGATAAAAATGGTTAATGGATTCCAAACTCCAGCTGATATCCATCAAATTGAAAACTGTTCTGTGCCATATTTTGAACAAGGCAGTTAATTTCAGTAACTTAGAGGAGAATTTCTGAGTAATTTATAGAACTAGATGCTTTGAATTGTCATGGTTAAGGTTTTGGAATTCATAATCAGGGAAAAAAATTCATCAGGCTCTTGGAAAAATTTGTATTACTGAAAGAGAACCAGCATAGATTTGTTCAATGCAAACTAATGTAATTGAATATTTTGATTATGTAACAGATAAAGATGAAGACAATGCAGTAGATGTTGACTGTATGGATTTTAAAAAAAGTGTTTGACCATTTACCACATTAAAGACTGATTAATAAAATTGAGGCTAACAGAATAGGATGATCACTATCCAGTTGGATTTTAAAAATTTGACTTCTGTGATTGCGGGAGGAGTGCAGTAGTTGTGTGGAGCTGGCATTGAGACTCACAGCAGAACAATGGGGGACATGTTGCGGTGGATTTCTGAAGCTGTGGGAAGGTCTCTCAGTTGGGCTCCATGTTTTGGTTTTTTAAAATTGTGCAGCCAAACCTATCACAAATTGAACAGTCTGCTGGAGGGTATTGTCAATTTTGCATGGTATTTCTCAACCTTGTTAAACATTGACAGGTTCGCTTTGAATTTAATCAGGGTTTGTATTTCAGATTGGGGAAAACTGTCATTAATCATTAGCCCTTCAGTTGGAGTAAAGCTCAGTGTTGCTTTAACTCATTATCTTGAAATCATTTTACACCTCATACAGAATAACTGAGGTTTTTTTGTTAAAAGGGCATTCGGGATCCTATGTGTGTACCTTTGGTCTTCTTTGAAATCTTACGGCTGGGAATTAGATGGTGCACAAATGGTTAAAGGCTGATGACTTGCCAGCACATAACAGCTCTGAGATAGGAACAATTCCAAGGTGCCTTGTGCACTTCATCTCATTTGGCAGCGAGTCTAAGTTGAGCCAAAACTCACTACTGCAAGCCCTGTGCTGGGGGTACGAAGTTTTCAACTTTGTGAAATGGCTTTCACCTCTCGCAGCTTGTGTGTGCTGGGATTCCTGCTGTTTCTATTCAATGGCCTGTGGAGACTGACTGAAAGTGGAGAGCTTCTGGTGGTGCCAGTGGACGGGAGTCACTGGCTAAACCTCAAAACTCTGATGGATGAACTTGGGAAAAGGGGCCACCACGTGGTCGTTGTTATCCCCGAGATCAGTTTGAAAATGGGCCCATCGCCTCACTACACAGCCAAGGTATACCCAGTGCCTTACAGCAAGGAAGAAATGAACAGCGTCAAGCCTGCCATCTTCACCAACGTGTCTCTGGTCAAAAGAATCCGCACTACTTTTGAAAAGACAAGTCGTCTTCAGCAGTTCCTCCTGAAGACCTGTGAGAGCCTGCTGTACAACAAGGAACTGATGCAGGAGTTGACGGAGCAGAAATTCGACGCTTTGCTGACTGACCCCTTTGTGCCCTGTGGTGCCATCGTTGCGGAGTATCTTTCCCTGCCCACGGTCAACCTGCTGCGAGGACTCCCTTGCGGTTTGGACAGTTCAGCCACACAATGCCCCAGGCCACTCTCCTACGTGCCAAATGTTTTCACCAGGAACACCGACCGAATGACCTACCTCCAAAGGATTAAAAACTTGTTGGTTGGCTTAACGGAGCCACTGCTGTGCTGGTACATCTACTCCCCTTTCGAAGAGCTGGCCCAGAGGTTCCTGCAGGCAGATGTGACCCTGGTCCAACTGCTGAGTAAGGCCTCCATCTGGCTGATGCGTTACGACTTCACGTTCGAATCCCCAAGACCCCTGATGCCAAATATGGTGCTAGTGGGCGGCATCAACTGCAAGGAGAGAAAACCTTTATCACAGGTAAGGGCACCATTCATGTGGGTGAGGAGCGATGTTTACCACAGGGAGGAGCAACATTGCACCAACATACTTTATTCATAAAAGGAAACCTTTATGTACATACACAGTTAATAAAGCTGTTCAGATCTATCCCGTCTTTACTTACAGGGAAGAAAACAGACAATGGGGTTCGGCTATCTCTTTACTTACAATTAATCTGTGGGCATTTGTCTGAAGCATGGGGAGGGCCTGGTAACTGAACGGACCCCAATTGTACTTTGGCAGGAAGACCTCAGGCAGTGGCCTTTCCCCACTGCATCTCGGACCCACGTCCCTCAGCACATAGTCCTGGACCTTGGAATGTGCCAGTCTGCAGCACTCGGTTAGGTTGAGGTGAGGGGAAGCCTTTCCCAAAGGATGGGGCACCATTGGTGTGGGTGGGGGGTCGGGGGGAGTCCTTGCCAACAGGAAAGGACACCACTGGAGAAACTGATGCAAAGTTGGCAACTTGCCTAACTTTCTTTGTTATTTAGGTAAAAGGAAGCATTTCAATTAACCTTTGTCTTAAAGTAAAATTCCCATTTTGTACGTGACAGGAGTTTGAAGAATTTGTGAACAGTTCCGGAGAGCATGGAGTTGTGATCTTCTCCCTTGGGTCAATGGTGTCAGAAATACCGCGTGAGATTGCGGATCGGATTGCAGCTGCTTTGGGCCGAATTCCGCAGAAAGTGAGTGTGTGATAATTCTGAAGTGCGCTGATATTTTTTTAAAAAAGTCATTCCCACAGATCAAGAAAGATCCTTTCAAGAAAAATGATCAGTTGCAGCTTCACCAGACTGGCTTGTGAGTTCACAGCTCAGTTTGAAGGTCAGTGCTTTCAGACTCACAGCAGAGATGTGGGCACAGGCTAACACAGCCAGTGCAGTACAGAAGGAGTGCCACACTAACAGGTACAGTGTTTGACGTGGAAGGTTAAGTAGAAATCCTGTCTGCCTGCACAGGCAGATGTAAAATATCCAATGGCATTTTGGAGAAAACCGACATCCTTCACCTGAAATGTCAGTCCCTCTACCACTGATCTACAATGGCAACAATGTGTACCAGCAGTGGCTAGAAATTCACCGCAACAACTCACTACAGCTCTCTCAACAGCAACTTCCAAACCCGCAAACTCCACCACTTGACCATAAGTTGATGCCGCATAAAAGGAGATTGTTTGGCCCGTTACATCTGTGCCAGCTCCCATTTGGCTATCCTTCATTCTTTCATGGCATGTGAAAGCTCCTGGCAAGGCCGACCCTGAAAACCCACTCCCAATGGTCTGAGAGAGGGTGGTGGGGAGCTACCAGCTTGAATCGCTGCAGTACATACAATGTAGGGACAGTACACAAGGTATGGGGACACTTCTGCTGGAATGTGAGGTCCAGAATTTTGACCCAGTGACCACGAAAGGCCGGCAGGGGATAGTTTCAAGTCAGGGTGGTGTGCGCCTAGGAGGGGAACTTGCTGTTTATGTTCCCAATGCATCTGCTGCCCTTGTCCTTCACAGTGGTCAAAGTCCCGGCTTTGGAAGGCATGGTCTAAAGAGGCTTGGTGAATTGCCACAGTGCATCTTGTAGATGATACATGCTGCTGCCACTTTGCATTGGCAGGGAATTCTGAAGGCGGTGGATGCGTTGCCAATCAAGCGGATCCCTTTGTCCCAAATGGGGACAAGCTCCGTGAGTGTTGTGGCTTGCTCTCCTCCATAACCTGCAAATGTCTCCCTTCCAGTACAGCAAACTTTGTTTTAACTGGCACCTTAAATAAACAGTCGCTCTTGATAAACCGGCAAAAAGCTATACATCAAATATTGGACGCTCACTGTATTATCGCAACCTTTGCAACATCTGAGTAGACACTTGAGGGTGCGAGTGAGAAGGCACTTTGCTGGTAAGTTCCATTTAAGGCAAAGCTGCACTGTTGTTTAAGTGATTTATGCTGTAAATAAAGTATGACAGTGATGTGTGCAGCCCTTGCATTATGTTTCTATGACTTAGTATGTGGTTGAACCTCTTGATCAGCCGGAGTATTTGATTGACCGACACACTCCTGGTCCCAAAGGTGCCAGTTAACAAAAAAGTTTTCTGTACTTCTCCAATTCCCTTTTGAAAGTTAGTATTGAATCTGTTGCTGTATGGGGATAAATTCCTCAGAAGGTGAGTGAGTTGGAACACTGAGGCTCTTTGTAGATATGTTCTAATCAATCTGTTCAGAGAAGTTAGGGTAACACTTCTGGTGGAGGTGGGACTTGAACACAGGTCTCTTGGCCCAGAGGTAGGGACACTGCCAAGACAGACCCTCTGAGTCTGTCCGTACACTTATCTAAAAATTGATTTATACAGGATAATGATTATATATTCAAATCAAATTATAAACCAACTTTCCAATCTCACTAAATTGTCTGGGGAAATCATCTTCTCTCTTCCAACACTCTTGTCAGTGCATTTCCAAGTCATTGTCGAGCTGGAGAAACACAGCAGGTCAGGCAGCATCAGAGGAGCAGGAAAGTCAATGTTTCATGTTTACACCCTTCATCCTGATGAAGGGTATAAATCCAAAACATCGACTTTCCTGCTCTTCTGAATCTGCCTGACCTGCTGTGTTCCTCCAGCTCCACACTGTATTGATTCTGACTGCAGTATCTGCAGTTCTTGCTTTCTCCATTTCCAAGTCACTACCATTTGCTGCATTAAAAAATTTGCTTCCTTACAACCCTCTTTGTGCCTCTTGGCCATCAGTTTATATCTGTTACCCATTGTCCCTTTCCTTTGTCTTTTACCCTTTGTCCTTTCACCTATTGGGAACAATTTTCCTTGTTCTACCTTATTTAAACCTGTTATTATCAAGTTCACCTTTGTCAAATCTCCCCTCAATCTTCTTGGCTCCAAGGAGCATCTTTAAGCTAACCTCATATCTAAAATCTCTCATCCTTCGCGCCATCCTGGTTAATCTCCTGTGCACTAAAATCTGAGGCATGGACTGCGAAAGCACGGAGAATATTTTGAAACTTTATCCATCACAGGTTAGGCCACAGCCTTGAATATTGTGTCCAATTCTGCGTAACTCGCATTCTTAAGGGTTTGGAGCAAATGGGGAAGATAGAGTAAAATGACAGTAACTGGAGATTTCAGTTATATGGAGAGATGGGAGAAGCTGTGCTTGCTCTCCTTAGAGCTGAGAATATTCATGAAAGATTTAATCAAAGTACCCAAAATCTCATCATTGCTAAATACCAGAGGATTAAACACTGGTTGGGCAGAGTGCAGTTATAACTTTTTCTACTGAGTTTTAATTCCAGTTCACATTTCACAAATGACCTATCCTCTCCCAGTTATTTCTCCATTAATATAGAATCATCACCCATTCCCGATAGTTACATTTGGTCTAAGGCATCCCTGGCAGACTTTACTAGATGGTAACTCAGTGATAGAAAAGACATCTGATGATTTCAAGAGGAAATTGGATGAGCTCATGAAGGAAATAGATTTGCAGGACTATGGTAAAAGAATAGACAGAGTGAGACTGACTGGATTTGCCAAACAGAGAACTGACATGGATTTGATAAGTGGAATGGCCTCCTTTGGTGCAATTCTGATTCCATGGCACTTGTTCCCTCCCCAATTCACAGTCTTTCTTTCTTTTACTATCTCACCATTTTTAATGTCCTTTCTGGTAACCCTCCATTGTTGTCTCTTTTTTAAAAGGTCCTGTGGAGATATACTGGAGATCCTCCTGCAATGCTGGCATCCAATACAAAGTTATTAGAGTGGCTCCCACAGAATGATCTATTGGGTAAGATTATTATCTGGGTTTAACCAACATGATGTAAGATCTGTGACTTGTGTATACTTTAATATCATTTAGTTTATTAGTTCAGTATTTTTGAATCCTATTTTTTAAACCAATATGAGAGATTGTGTGCCTGGAGTGATAATAGGAATTTGCTTGTGTTAAGAGTTTTGCATTAGACAGACTTCAACATTGATTAGCATTAGTTTGCTTTCGATTTAGAAGAATCAGGAATTGATTCTCTTTTGTTTAGGGAAGAACACATAGTATGGAAGATTTTTGCTTTCAGTTCATGGAAGTCTTGATTCAACTTAAATGTGAGAGCAGTCTCTCTTGGAGGAAGGAGTCCATTCAGAACAATAGGAATGGGTTACCTCAGTGCAATGATTTCACTTTGGAAATTCCAGACCTAAGTGTTTGACTAGAACCCTGAATGGCTTATTTGAAGCTAAGAAAGCCTAAGCTGAGTTGGTGACTAATTAAAGAAGACACTATCAATCTCTCAAGATCAGGAATTGAAAGCAATGGTTAAATCAAACCTATAGATGTGACAGAGAAGGGAATTCTGACTGGTATTTGAAAGTGATGACATTGGGATAGATGGAATTGTATTTTACTGTGCGTTTCAATATCTTTCAAATTAGGCTATATGAAAACAGTTGGGGATGTTTTAATTTTCTTTTCTTTTACATAATAAACTTTTATTTGTGAAAACCAAATCTGCAGTATTGCATGTTTGTGCTTCAGTAAAAGACTACCTTGTTAAATATTTAAAAAATCAAAATTTGATCTATTAGGCAGATTTCAGTCTGGGTCTCCAGTCATAATATCAGCTAGAATCAGAACACTGGCTAAACAGCAGAAAGCTTGGTTAAATTAATGTTTGACCAACTGGTTAATTGTGTTTTGGACTGTTACAGGAATTCGTGCTGGGTTTCTCCATTTTCCATTCATATACAGTGAGTTAGACGTAAAGACAAGTAGGCTTGTATTGGAGATAACAAGGTGAACACAGCAGGCCAAGC